CTTGGTCTGACCTGGTATGGCTACTCTTCTGTTTTTGTTTGTGGTACAGATAGTTGTGATAAGGCAGCTGTAGTTGTGCTTGCATTTCCTGAAGTGTTTAGTTCTTATGAGAAAAATGACCTAGAGATTTGTATTTCTTTCTACCATTGCAATATGGTTTAGGTTATGCATAGCTTTCAAGACGCAGAGTTGCTTAATGGCAGTATCATATTTTCTGTGCATGAGCTGTGTCTTCTTTATTCTCAATCATAGAAGAAAATCAGGACAGTAGGAAAAAAAAAAAAAAAAAAAAAAAAAAAAAGGAAGAAGAAAAGAAAAGAGAGTAAAGGAAAAGAAAAAAAAAAAAAAAAAAAAAAAAAGAGTACACATATTATCCTGACCCAAAACAAGTCCATGACAGCTTAATACACACAGACATTTCAACAGGCATGTTGGCTTTATAATCCATTTTTGGCGTCAGACTAAGTGATGAAAGGTAGCCATGTGTCCAGATAACTCCATATGAATGATTAGAAAACCTGGTCATTTTTTCCAGTGGCACAGGCCCCTACCTGCCTTTTTAAAGACAGCCTTCATCCAAGATGCTTGATGAATGCCAGATTTTTGTGGTATTATCAGTAATGTCATATACCTGTGAACGTGCAGCCCAGCCCTGCAAGAAGCTTGTGCCAGGGAAGAGGATGAAAAGCAGCCCCTAAAAGCCTCAATACTCCAGATGGGCAGACTGTCCCCGGGGAAGGGCTCTCCTCTTGTTTCTATTAGCAAGCAGAGGGAAACAGTTAAAAGAGACAGGCCTTGTTTGCATTAATATTTAGAGTGTTTTGGCCAAAACGTAGCTAAATAATGAATCTGAAGGTACTAAACACTGTTGTGTGAAGTTGGAGCTCAGACCAAACAGAAAACGAGAAGTGGCAGGAAGGCATCCTGGGGAAGCAGAGACTCTGCTTGGACCTGGGTGTCCTCAGGTACTCTTTGGAGCACCCCACATAGATCACACCAAACCTGACAGCAACCCCATGAGGAAACATTGGTGCCAAGTTAATGGCCAGCAGAGAGGTTTTTTTTGAAGCAGCAAGGGACTGCAGCTTAGCTGAGAAGATCTGGTAAAGACTTGTCTATCCAGAGAACCGGGATCACTTTGGCTGAATTAATCTTTGAAGCTTTGAAAGCAGGCAGGGCATCGGTTCCCTGAAGGGCTGGAGATTGCCTGAACTTCCCTAACGCCAGTCAACAGGAATGGTGAAGAGGGGCAGGAGCTGAATCAACACCATCATGCAGGATGTTCAACCTACAGGTGGAGAACCAAGCTCAAAAACTACTGCCAAGAAGCTGCTTGGAGTGGGAAACAGTGAATCTCACTTAGCTGTCGCAGATTAGATCTAGATGCAGACACAGATATTGTCAGTTTATTAATGCACCTATTCTCAAACTGGGTGGCATGTCTCCCCGGGGGGCAGCTGGAATGCAGAGGGTTGAATAGTTTACTTCTGTGGGGGAAAAAACGTGTCTGAAGCCAATCCCTCAACCCGCTCCCCTTCGTGTGGCTGCCGGGATCACCCAGGCTTGCCCCTGTCCCAGCCTCCACATCTGACGTCCCTAGGCCAGGCATGGCCGGGTGCTGAGTCCCTGGCTCTGCACCGCCTGTGCTACTGCTGAAGGGGCCTGATGCTGGGGACAGGCATGATTGTTGGGCCAGGCCTGATGCTGGGGACAGGCATGATTGTGGGGCCAGGCCTGATGCTGGGGACAAGCCTGCTGCCCTCACCATGGCCTCCATACAGGCCTGGCCCGGCCCCAAGCTGAGTGCCCCTCAGCCATTCCCCCACTTCCCCACATTCAGGTTTCATCTTCTCTGGGGCCTGCAGTCTGTGTCGGGTTTTCCCCATTGAGGCCATGCTAGATTTTCTTCCCCTTTCCTTTTTTTCACATGCTTATAACTCATGCTTTGTCCACAGGAAACTTTGCCTTACAAAAACACTGAGTGTACTAGTTTTCCTATTTTAGGGCTTAGGCTGATGGAATCCATCACACCTGATGAAATCATGGAGCATTTAAACCTCTCTCTGCTTCTGCCCGTGTCGCCTGACAGGAAATCTGCAATATCAGGTTCTACAATAGCAGTTTATGACAAATGGCTGGTGACTGGCTCCGTGCAGGAATGCCCCTTGGTCCTTGGTCAGGATGCTCTCGGTGTTGTTGGCCACCAGTCCCCCTGAACCTCCCTTCCTCTCCTGGTCCTGCATGTGTGGACAGGGAGCAGCCCCCAGACACGGGCCTCCTGCAAGCAGCAAGGACCATTCAGGTCCCAGCTATGCTGCAGAGTGAAGATGATGGAGATGCCAGAGTGGAAATTTGGAGAGGGACAAAATCCCAGTGGGGCTTGCATCTGACCTATGCTCAAGGCGAGTAGGTTTTATTGGACAAAACAGCTAAATCACCTTACTCTCAACAAAGTCTTGAAAGAAGAGGATTTAATCCTTACCACTGCCATGATCCTCATGTGTCACCAAACAACATTGCTTCTCTAGGCATCAGTTCCTTCCCCATGGAATGAGGAATTTCATCTTCCTTCTCCCATCCTTTGCTTTTTTCTGTCTACTTACACTGCAAATTGTTTATGCAAGGGCTGTTTCCTATAGGGTGTGCATACAGTGCCTAGAGGTCAAAATGGGTATTTAGGACTGCTATAAAATGACAAATCCCAATAAAAATCCTGCTCATCCCCCAGGCTGCATCTACCAGGCAGCAGCATATGTGGTCAGTGCTTTGAGAGGTACTATTCTAATATTTCCTTGTATTCTCCATCTCTCTGACCCCTGTGTGCTGTCAGACATACAGGCTACAGCAAGTCTCCCTCATTACTAGCTGCTGGCAAGTACTCAATCAGTCACCAGCTACTTCTGAAGCATGCCAGACACGTAGTGGAATATGTGCTCCTCTCAACCCATCTGCACAACAGGCTACAGATGCCAGCTGCTTTGCTTGGAATGACATGGAAGACAGAGAAAGAAGGGAAAAGGACAAAACAGTAACCATGAACCATGTTCTCCACACTTTTTAAAATTCATTTCCCTCTTGCCTGAATAATCTTGTCATGTTGTTTCCTAAATTCTTCTCTCCTTACCATGTTTCCATTGTCTATTTAGGCTATAAAGTTAGTAAGTGTAGTGAGTTTTCATTCCATGACAACAAAGTATGAGATGTTCTTAAAATACCTCTATAATACTGGTCTTTGAATATACAGAATTTTTATTCAACTACTTGAATATTCAGTTAATTTAAATACACCATCAGGAGACACCAGTTCTGAGAAGCCTTTCTTCACAAAGAGAATTGGTTTTGCTTGGGAACATTTCTGATTCACAAAAGGGTAAGATACAAAAGAGCACTGAGGATAATAAGCCTAACCTTGTTCTCTTTTATACTTTCCCAAGGCTACTCTGGTTGACTGTGATGAGCATATTCCTGGTTGATGCTGGCCAGCAGCTGAAAGGGAAATTGGGTAGTCTGAAATGAAGATGAAGCTGGTCTACAGCAGGTACACAAGAAAATGCCAGTGTCAAGTTTTGAGGCATGGTGGTATGGCAAACTTGTATACAAGTCTATCCAGTAAGTAGTTGCTCATCAGGGGAAAAAAAAAAAAAAAAAAGTATACAAGGGGAAATTATGTCACCATGACTTTTGAGCAAGATCATATTTTCTACCAGCATTTTAGGAAGAAAATCTGCTTCTTAACATTTTCATCCTTCTGGTGCAAGTCTACAGGCAAATCCTTTTATTTTAGAATAAATATAGCTAGATATGGTTTCATGCACAAAGGCACATGAACATGGCTGTATTGCCTGAATAAATTCCTGTTCAATGTGATCGAAATGGCAATACAATAAATAAATAAATAAATAATCCATTGGAGGAGTTAGGCATAGGAAAAAAGAGCAAAGAGATCTTCACTGTGTGCAACTTTTCCTTTTGAAAACAAAATGAATAAAAGCAAGCAAAGGTTAATCATTCCAGGTGATTGGTGAAGGCGAGAAGTCATCCTGGGAGCTTCATTTTTGTAGCACACAAACTTTTGTGAAATTCTGAATTCAGTCAGCATCTACTACATCAAGCTCCCCAGCTTCTCTGGGAGCCCTACCGACCTCTCTGCCTGTGTAATGAATAAATAAGACTGTGAACAGCAGAAGCCCCATTTCTTCTGGGTGAAGTCTGCACAGACAAACCAGATGAATGAAACCATTTTCAATTCACAACTCTTATTAATTTGGTGACAGAGGGGGAGAACACAAGCCTGGTGGGAACAATGGGCTAATTGGATAAAAAGCATGTGAAAACACTATACCTATAATGTACCTTGTTAGCATATGCAAATGAGATAATTATATGGGCTGATAACAGTTAGGCACAGTAATACACAGTCCGTGTGAACTGTCCACAAATACTTCTGAGATCAAGAAATGAAAGTAAATTCTTTAAACATCCTAATTGGTTGCCAAAAGGAAATTCATTCCAGCTAGAACGTTATTCAGTGTAAAGCAATGTAACTCATTTGATCTCAATGAAGATCAAAAAAAGACAACCATATCCAGACAATCTTGGATTAAGGTGCTTTGTTTGTATATATTTACTACATAAAGTTGTTATGCAAAAACAACCTAAATGAGATGAAGGCTCTGAAATCATTCATTACTATTTCTCATGTGTTATTAGTAAGCTCAACAGTGTCCTGTTTGTGCAAGGAGCCTCTAGATCTTCCTAAAATCTGGGCTTGCATACAGGACTTGTACAAGTTTAAGTGGATAGTCAGACATTTCTTATTCCCTCAATTGCTCTTAGTGATTTTGCACTTCAAATGCTTTTTGCTTACATAAATTTAGGCCAGCTTCTCACCTCTCATACTATTAATGTACCTCAGAGACATTTTGTAGGGAATTATTCAGGTAGACAACATTTTTTCTACTTGATTTGCTATGAAATGACAAGCACTGTTAAACCAAAGGTTAATCATTGATTAAGTTTAATGACACTAAAAGAAACAGGTCATGTGAGAAAGCAATTGCACTTTCATTTTTGCTGTCACAGGTCATTTATAGCTTTTGATTCAAATTCCACCCCACGCAAAGAGTTGCTAACAACATCCTACTTCAAATTCTAATGTACTACAACTGCAGAGCAAGCATGTGAGCTGGCAGTAATCAGGCCATTTGTAAAGCACACACAGATTCTTTCATTCATCCTGGCCATTAAACTGTTTGAAAAGATTATTTTATTGTTCTGCATTAAGAGGCAGTGCTTTTGACAACTTGTTTAACAGAGAAGTGCTCCCTTCTACTTGCACACAAGACTGTTCTGTCATTTTGGTGCATTTAAGAACCTCAATTTCATTGTCACCTGCAGTTCTTCCCACCTTGCTATGGACTCAAAAAAAAAAGAGAAGAGGAAACAAGCTCAAAAAGAGAATATTGATTTTCTCTGTTACCAATACCCTTGTGCCCCAAAATATGTGTGGAGCTGAAAAGTCAATAATTTTCTGTGAATCTTTCAAGGACAGCTACATCAGAAGGGAGATGCTTTTACCAGTAATAGAGCTCACTTCTGGTCTCATCGTCCTTTGTATCACGGTGTTTCCATTTGGTTCCAGGACATGGCTCTTCCTTTACACCAGCATCAAGTTGATCAGAATCAAATCTTCCACCTGCTGAGGGACAGTTAATGGTGATTGTTAATCCAATATGCATCTATGCTTTGGCCTACTAGCCAAAATAATTAGTCCTCTAACAAAGAAAGGGCCCTTTGAAAAGTTGGATGTGGGCAGGAAATAAGCAATAGAGGTAGATCGTGAGGCTTATAAGGCTATATAAAGCTTTCTTTTCTTCCTTTTCATCTATGTAATACGAAAAAGAAGGACCCGTGTGAGGACCCACGTATTTTATGCACAAATGTTAAATTTCAAAACTGACCTAATTTAAAATAGCAGACATAAAGTCAGCAATATTAGCGTGCATGATAAAAACACTTCATAAAAGTCATGGTTTCTGTTGCAAAGAGCATCTGTAGGCAAAGAGGAGCTGTGCTTTGAAAAAACTAATGGTGGGACAAAAGAGATGAGGTTGCTGTTATGTGTAAAGTATACCGGAACTCAAGGATGAGTCCAGCTTTTTGGAACAAGACCATTGAACAGATGCAAAGCTCCTGAGAAGAGCTTGTCGTTGAAGCATAGCAATAAATTTGATGAAAATGGGCTGTTGGTATAGATTTATTCCAGCGTATCACCGAAATTGGCATAAAGAAATCTGCTTTAAAGTGATAGTACAACTGATTCAACAAAAGGAATGCCTCAAAGCAATAAGATATTTCCTTCTCAAAGAGTGCAGCAAACATTATTCAAGCACATAAAACAAGAAGAGTGCTCTAATTCTGGTATATTGGCATAATTTTTCCCTTTAAACTTAATTCAGTAACGATCATTAAAAAAGTCTGCATTAAATATTCTCATTTTCAGTGCTGCAGTGCTGGAGCATTGCCACAGCCTTTTTGAAGAGCCACTCCACATTCAAATCTATTTTCACCCTTTCATCCCAATTCTATATTGTTATTGCTGACCAGTGAAGTTGCCTTTGAAAACATACAAAGTAGGTGATTTTTCAATTGTGTAAAGCCATGTTTGGCTTTCGGCATTTATGTTCATGGGAATAGCCTTTCCAAAAGCCTGGTCCAAAGCATAGTGAAGTCAATGGAAAAACTCCAGGTGACTTCACTGGGCCTTGGATCGAGCCCAAACTCTGGAGCCTCTAAGTCTGGAAGTTTCAACCGGGCACGGAGTTAGCCCTAATTGTTCAAAAACAGAATAAGAATTTTGCAAGGTCAACCTCCTCCACACACGCTGCGTCTGATTTTACAATGAGTCTCCTAGAAGGCTGTAGGCATTCAGCACCTTGCAAAATGAAGTCCCATCTCAGGATAAAACTTCTTATGAGTAGATGTGCAGTGGATCCATCATGTTGTCTCATTCCTTCTCTGCCAAAATGCATCCCGCTGTGCCGTTTAGTCATCTTTAGCCACAGGTTGTGGTCACGACTTATCTGCTGAAATTAGAAAGCTGCATGGAAATTCACTTCTAGGAGACCATTCCCACCAGGAACCAGCTAAGAAAAATAAATAAATAAAACAAAAATACAAAAATTTAAATTAAAAGTGTGATCTGATCTCCTAAACAATTCTTTACCCATAAAGTTCCCACCCAAGGAACCAGTTACATTCGTGTTTCAAGGAACTATATTGTTTAAAGAAACTGTAAATGTCACACAGTTAAAAGAGAAAGAAGCAGCTAGATTTAGTTGAACAATCGGCTAATAACTCAGTCAACAATATTCTTATCCTAGGTAGTAGTTATCAGCTTAGACAGCTGTTACAATCTTTCACTGTAATACTTAAAAGGCAAACCACCAAATTCAATACCATATTGTTTGTGTAGTAGTGTTTGTTTAAAGGTAAATCACTCATAAAAGTGTAATTTCCTGCTGATACATAATGGCGGACAGTGACAGGAAGCTGGTCCGAGCCGACTGAAACCCTGAGATATGCAACTCCCGATCGCCGGCAGTACTTTACCCCCGCTTTAAAATGATTGTGTTTTTACACCCAGTCACACCTAAATTAGCACCAGCGTATTAGGCCTTCTTGCGGATGCCTGTTTTCATTTGTACAACAGCATAAGATAAGAAAAAGTGCTACAATCGGCACAATGAAGTCATGTTTCTCCAAATAAAGATTCCCTTCCTGCCAAGAGACCCTGCTGGGTAAAATTCCTTTCCTAGTCTGCTTTTCTTACTGATATCTTACAGAATCATACTTACATTTTAGGTTTCCTTCTGCTTGCATTCTCTGCCTCTTAGGATTTCATCATTTTAGGAACTGCTAATTGAAGTTCCCAAACTCACAGTATTTCATTCACTGGTTTCTGGGCATCAGCAATATAAAGAGAGATCAACTGTTGGAAGAGTTACTCTATACTGATGTCAGTATGAACAAGAACCAAACTAACCTGTAGGCACGTACTAACTCTTGTCTCAATGGCCCCTTACCCTATACAGGGGCTGGCAGTATGGAAGTGATGGGGATGCTGCCAGGAATTAGACCCTGCACACTGACTGCACCAGAATGGGAGGAAATGTGCCCTGAGAGGAATCACCTGTTGTTCCCATCTTAGTCCTCTGAGTGCAATGCCTTTTGCCCATCTTCTTCTGCCTAAATCTCAGCTTGCTGAGAGTCAGCACTCTGAGGGATATTGTTTAGATGATAGTCAATGGAAAGAGATGCAAAAGACAATTGACTCTGTGCTCTCTCTGTACCTTTTTTTGGGTGGAATGAATCAGCATCCATCTCTCAGATAGTCCCCAGTGCCCATACAGGTGCATATGTATTTTACCTTCTTTCATTTTCCTAAGGAGTTATAATGGGAGACCATCAATGTGCTTCAGCCTGGTGCCAGAGCATTCTCCATGTGCCATAAGAGCATAAAATCTTACAGCCTACATCCCAAATATACGCAGAGCAGGGAGGAAAGGATTTGCACTGTGGCTCTCGCCCTTTCTGTGCCAAGAACCTACTTGCTCAACCAGGAGATGGTTAACATTAAGCCAGGAGGTTAAGAAAGGAAGAACTACTTGCATCCTCTGTTATCTGAAGAGTCAGACCCAGGCAGAGCTGGACCTAAGCCACAGTGCTCAGAGGAAGTTTTGATGTGCTAAATTTAAAATCATAAAACATTAATAGAAGACAAAATTGGAAATCAGTTTCATCTTCGTCTATCTGCCAAGCGCTGATTTCTCAGCAGAAAAGCAGATAGCTCAGGGAAATTCTCCCATCTATCTCCATTAGGGTTTGAGGTTATCAGCTTTTTCCTGTCACATACAAAAAAATTACCTTTAATTTAATCTCAGTTTACACCTACACTACCCAGCCTTGGAAACTTGCTTTAGGATCTGAGAATCTAGTTGTCTTCTCAAGTGCCTTATGAATCATCATCAGCAATGAACACATCAAGGTCCTTCAGCTCAGATGGGCTGTCTCTTGCCATAACTGAGGCCAATACCTAGTCCTGAAGATGGAGCTCCATTGAACAAGCCATTCCTCATGCACAGTCCCCCATCCATTCTGGTTCAGCCATCACTGGTCCTAAGCTATCACAACACTGAGCGGAACAAGAGCAACAAACTGCCCTGCCTTCCCATGTCAACAAATGCATCCCAAATTATGACTTAGGTAGGTCTAGGAAGATCTACTTGCCTAAAAGTACTTTTTTATTATTATTATTTCCTTTTTTTTTTTTTTTTTTTAAATACAAATGCTGTTAGGAACATGAGTTTCCAGTGTTGTGTGAGCTGTTCTCATTCCCTGAAGTTCATGTTGTTAGAAGCAAAGGGGGATTCGTTTCCTGATAAGCTGGATGAAATCCTTTTGCAGGTTGTATAGTTCACAACTAAATATAGCATTTGTCAATGCTTTTCTTGCCCAGAGGAAGAGAAGATTGTCTATTGGTTTCCTCTTCATTACATGGTTGCTAAAATAAAACATCTTTGTTTAATTGAATGCCTCTGCAGTCTCAGTCAGGTGCAACTCCTATTTCTTCAAACAACTGGATAACAAAGGAAGCATGCAACTGCCACATAACCTTGTCACTCGCTTTGAGGAGAGGAAGAGCTACAAGCCAGTCATACACTTCCCTCAGTGCTTCAAGGACAGAGGGAACAGCTGTCAGTCTGGGGGCAGCAGGGCGGAGGAGGATCACACCCTGTATAAAAGCAGAACAGGAACTGGAGCTAAGCTGCACTCAGTCGGGGAATGGGCTGGAAATGAGTGCGAGGGACATTCCCCTTGGTACCGTGGCAATTCTTGCTGGTGGGCCATCAGGTTTCTGTTATGGCAAGTGACTTCATTGAGGAAGTTCTTTTGAAACCAAGTGAGATATTATAATGAGCCTGGTGTGAGTGAAGACACCATAATTTGGCATCACTTGTACAAATGGATATCTTTGATAAATGAGGATCAAGTTACCAATCTGAGTTAAAGATTGAATAAGTGTCTCTCCTTTCAATAAATATTATTTTGTATTGTTTGGGCTGTAAAGCTGACTGAGAACAAGACCTGTTTGTGTTAGACCTGCTGCATATCCACAGAGGCAGACCCTCCAGACCTGCATTTGAAATTGGTGACAAGTATGTTGTGTGACAAGGGTAACAAAAATGGAAAGGAAAGGAAGAAATTAGGTGGTCAGAAATCACACAAGATGTTAGTGGAAGTGCCTGAATGCCAGTTTTAGAAAGCTAATGATAAATGGTAGGAATACTGGGAAATAATTAAGGAAATCTTCCAGGAGCTCGCTGCTTAGCTGATGATAAAATTCAGGCTTTTGGAACACCACTCTGTTATTCATAACAAAAGAACTCAGAATAATACAGTCCATGAATAACATCCCTAGATCCATGGCTCTGTGCTCTGTCCTCTGAAGAAAAACATATGAATCTCAGGCTTGTCTTTTCTAAATTCATCAGGTCTGATTTCACTTGTCAGAAACTACCAAGTTCTACCAGAGTGGGATTCAGCAGAGAGACAAAGAAAAAAAAGTCACCTGCCTTGATGTCGTAGTGAGAGTCAGCATGCATTGCTCTTGTAGGACATGTTTGCTATCCAGTAAACTACTCCCACACAAACATGAACCCATCCCCTTTTCTCTCTCTCCATATCTAACGTGCTCCTCATGCTGAATGCTGGCTGTGGTCGCTCATGCATTCACTTCTCCTCAGGCCTGAATGCCTTCTCCTGCAGTAGAAAAGTAAGTCTGGGCAATGACTGCAATTCCCAGATTTGTAATCCTACAAGTTTTAAGGCCAGAGAAGCTGTCATGATCTCGTGATTGTATAGTCTGACCTCTGGTGTAACCCAGGGCAGAGAAATTCATGCAGAAGCTCCTGCACAGTGCTGTGGTCTCAATTTGTGGTTGGTGGCGGTTTAGAAACTACAGCTTGCTGCAGTCTCCTGATGACGGAGAATCACCACATCCCTGGTCAGGTATTGCAGTGGTTTGCTCACTCTGAGTCACCATAACACAAATGCTGTTGAGCCTCACAGGCCTCCTATGGTTACAATACATTTTGCAGTCTCTCTTTCAGAACAACACAAATAAAAATCTCCTATTGCGTCTATTGCTCAGTCTAAAGCATCCAACAGAAGTGAGAGCTGGTGCTCAGGATATACACAAATTGTCTATAAAGTGTCTGATGAGAGGAAAAGCTACTTTCTACCTACGTCACTAATTTACAAGCTGGTGTATTATCTGACCCAGACATTGTTTTTTAAACCTCTCTTGGCCTTAGAGAGAAGGCCTGGCTTTGCCAAGAGGCTCCTAAGGACATTGAAACTGAATTTCTCTTCCTATTTGAAAACATCTCTCGTTAAAACACCCTTTAAGGGAAATCACAAACGCAGGAAACAGCAGTTACAGTGAATCGTGTTTGTCCGAATAGAAGGAATGTGATGATATCATTTTGGAATGTGCTTTCTTTCTCAGGTTTTTGTTTTGGTGGCAGGAATGTCATTTTCTTAAAAAGTAAAGCACATTCTTGGCAATTCTCTCCCTCTCCCCCCCCTTCCAAATTTTGCCTACAAATCAATATTCCCATCTCCTGCCATGTGTTTTTCCCAAATTGTCACATACTGTTCTCATGTTACCAGTACAACCATCTGATGTCAGGCATCCCAACAAGCAATTATAAAAAGTCATTTACTATTACCTAGAGAGCTTATTTCCATACATAAAAGCTTGAAGATGTTCTTTGCTATTTTAACTTGAAGGTGTCATTTTTTGCATTTGGGATAGAGGATTTGACCATTAAAAAACATGTCCATTTCCATCATGCCATTGCAAAACCCCAGCTAAGATCTTGGCCCTCTGAAATGAATAAATACCTCAGATGGTCCATTTTCAGAGGAACCCAAAGGCATCTGGTGCCCCTTTCTCCATGAATCTGACTGGGCACCTCTCTTACAGCTCTGCCTGAAAGTGCCCATTTACCAGAGGACGTATCCCCAAAGCCAGATAACATTCCTCTGTGTTGATGAAAACATGGAGATCTTTGCCAT